GCAGATGAATGTCATTGTGTTTGAAGAAGCCGAGGAAATGTGAGAGAACAGTTTTAAGAGAATCATCAGCCCAGTGTGGACATGTCCCAAGTGATGGTAAGAGTTGGAGTGGAAGGAACATTATGAGTCAATTCCTCAGTCACTATTATTGGATAACCAGGATTTGGCAGGAAAAGCAGAAGGAAGAGGCAGATGGCATAAGAATTAAAGGACATTTGTACAAAGGAGAGATGAGCAAAGTATCAGGGGAGCTAGGACATTGCTGATCGCCTCTGAGTCCCCACAGGATGTGGGAAAATGAGCAGCCTTCCCTGAAGAAGGTGGCAAAGGAAGGCTACAGCGGAGCCCTCTAGGGGAACAGAGGAGAAAAGGCTGAGGTTTTGGTGTTGGCTACCTTAAGCAGGCCCTGAAGGGTGGGAAGGAATTCCAGGAGCTGTGGGGGATGAGGTCAGTGGGAAGGAGGTTGGAAGCAATGTGGGGTTGAAAATGAGAAGACAAGTCCTGAGGGGTTTACCTTTCAGGTGGAGGCCAAGGGCAACAGGAACCAGAGTCACCTAGGATTAGCTGGTCCCAAATTGTAAATGAAGCACTGGGATCAGGTTGTTCCCATCCTGGGATTGCGGGAGGAGGGAGGAGGTGTGCATGAGAGGCCCTGCTGGCCTGGAGGTGGGTATTGCAGCTGCCACATGCCATTCCCTTGCTGCAAAATCCTTTAACAGAATGTCTGCTATCCAGGAGGACGTGCATTGGTGAATTTCTTCTCATTTCCTGAACAACTTACGCACTAAGCAATTACTTAAAAGCACTGAAGGAAGAGGCTCAGGTTTCTAATGACATTCTGTCAACATGACTAATGCTACCCTGGAACACCCTTCCCCTAGGTAACTGCATGGTTCACTTTCTTCTTCAACCAAGTTTCCCTCAAAGAGGGGCCTTCTCTGACCCCAGTACCCATATAGCCCTACTCATCCCTCACTATCCTCTTGCCTTGCTTTATTTTTCTTCATTTTACTTATGTCTACCGACTCATCCTGTATTTGTTTATAGCCCTGGCCAAGTTATTGGACTTTAGGAATGGCATCTTTCAATTAGAAGTTGTTGCTACTCTAATATTAGATTTTGTTAACTATCGGGTGGCCTCTTTTCACCATGCTTCCTATACAAAAATGAATTTGCCTAAAACTCAGCATCCACATTTCTCCCTCAAAGTTCTAGGCAGTAAAATCTGACTGTTAGAAACTTAGCTGTTTGCCTTCACCGCTCCTCCTCCCATCTTGCCTTCCTCCTTAACTGCTTTTTCTGATGTTGGCCAAGATATCAGAACCTGAGATCAGTATCAGAAAATTGAGCTCCTACCATGACCCCACACCAAAGTTTGAGGCTTTCAATAACAAAGATAGTTAGACACCCTCCTTTCCCCAAGAGCCTATATGTTGTGAAAGAACTGATAATTAAACATGATTGTATAATGATTTAATGAGAACCACAACAGGGGAGGTGTTACCTTCAGAAGGGTTTCCCTTGAGGAATGATACCTGAGTATTAAACTGCAGGATGAGTAGGATTCGGCTGAGAAAAGAAGGGTTGGAGAAAAGTGGACACCAGGGAAAAATCCCTGATTCTAGAGAAGTGGGTCTTGTTGGAGGAGCCAGAACTGCCAGGCACCTGGGAACCCAGTAGGAAGTGTGAGTCGTGGGTAAAACCAGGGTTGTGACAAGCTTAGAACCAGATTATCTTAAGGCAAAAATAACCATTTCACGGCTGCTGCTGGTTTCGTTGGCAAAAAAAAAAAAAAGGACTCCATGATTTTAGCAATCAGGTTGTTGGTAATAATATTGGTATTATTATTCTGTCACTATTCACTATATGTAGTATAGGATTGACCAAATAAGTAATTGGCTAATGTTGAAAGAAACCAAGATTTTTCACTATAAAAGACATGCAAATATAAAATTGTAAAAATTAGTAAAAAGTCTATAATTCTAAATTTGAATGAATAATATATTAGTACAAACTGATGATACATTTTTATATCTTAAAAAAAAATCTATATCCTAGCTCTGACCACTATTAAGGCCTAGAAACAATGACTAGTCAAATGCAGGGCATGCCTCTACTGCTGGTTTGTAGTCTCTCAATTCTGTTTCCCACCAAATGGAATCAGGGGTTCTTGCAGAAATGGTTGGTCCAGAGCAGGAATTGCATATGATGAGTCTGAAACATGATATACCAGATAGTGAGGAAAGTGTCAGAGATCCCAGGGGTCATGTCAACAGGACTCAGAAGTCAACTTGTCAAGGCTTTCACTGGCCACAAATGGGACAATGTGAACATAAGTAAGAGTAACTGAAAAGGACTGAAATCCACATGAATCCTGTTGGAAATTGACAAGTTTATAATGATGTTAAAAAAAAAACAACACGATTGTTCACCTTTGGATGTAGAGGGGAACCAACTCTTCTGAAAACAGGAAAGGAATGAAAAGGAATCTACCTTTGCTGTATAAATTGAGCCTTGGGGTAACCAAATGGTAGAGGAGAGAATGTTTCTTTCCGTAGGAGTATTCTAGCCAATAATTTAGAAGAAATATTGGTCCAGGTGTGGTGACTCACACCTGTAATCCCAGCACTTTGAGAGGCCAAGGAAGGAGGATCATTGAGCCCAGGAGTTTGCCACCAGCTAGTCTAGGTAACTCCAGTTCCTGCTGCCGTTGGCCTCTACCCAAAAAGTAAACCCCTCAGGACATGTCTTCTCATAGTGAGACTTCCATCTCTACAAAAAAAAAAAAAATTTGAATTAGTCAGGCACAGTGGTGCATGCCTGTGGAGGAGGAAGAGGAGGAGCCTGGGAGCAATGGCTCATGTCTGTATGCAGTCCCATCACTTTGGGAGGCTGAGGTCAGGAGTTTGAGACCAGCCTGACCAACATGGAGAAACCCCATCTCTACTAAAAATACAAAATTAGCCAGGCATGGTGGTATATGCCTGTAATCCCAGCCACTAGGGAGGCCAAGACAGGAGAATCGCTTGAACTTGGCAAGTGGAGGTTGCAGTGAGCTGAGATCACACCATTGCACTCCAGCCAGGGCAATAGGAGTGAAACTCTATCTCAAAAAAAAAAAGAAAAAGAAAAAAAGGAAGCGGTGGAGGAGGAGGAAGAGGAAGAAGAAGAAGAAAGCAGAAGAAGAAATATTATTTACAAGCCATTAAAGAAACAATTATTCTAGGTAACGATAATTGTATTAGTTTCCTGCAGCCACATAACAGTGTACCACAAACTGGCTTAAAACAGCAGAAATTTATTGTCTCTCAGCTCTGGAGGCTGAAATGAGAAATCAAAATACTGACAGGGCTGTGCTCCTCTGAAGCCACTAGAAAAGACTTCTTTTTTTGTTTGCCAGTGAACCATCCTCAGTATTCCTTTGCTTGTAGAAGCATCACTCCCTTCTCTGCCTCCATGGTCACATGGCTATCTTCTACCTGTGTCTATCTGTGTTCAAATTGTCCCCTTATAAGGACCGAATCAGGACCCACCCTAATCCAGTGTGACCTCATTTTAACCTGATTCCATCTGTGAGAACCCTATTTCCATGATTACAGGCACAGGGTTGGTGGATAGTTGAAAGTTCAACACATCTTTTTGGGGAACACAGTTCAACCAGTAATAATCATCAGGGGCAGCTTAGATCACAAATAGGAAGACACCAGACTTTATGTATTTTCTGACAGAGTATACCACCTATTGCCAAGGAATTAGATAACAAATCAAACTAAGTCTAGATCTATCTACCAATTTACGGGAAGTAGAGAGTACAGAAAGGCATGTTAAAAATTACCTCAGGCAGTAGAATCAGCAAGATCCAGAATGCGGGAAACTCTGCAAAACAAATGACTTGGTTGCTTCGACAAATAAATTGCAAGGAAATTCCAGGAGAGAGCTCTGTAAATTATAATAAAATGGACATAAAATTCATAACAACTGAATACAATATATAGATTTTGTTTGAAAATTTAAATACTAGATATTTAATAAAATAAAGGGCTATTGACAATTTAAAAAATCTTAATGATGTTGTGGTAATGTTTTAAAAAAGAGAGAGTCCTTAACTTACAGAAATACATTTCCTCAGATAAAATGGCATGTTTGGGGATGGGAAGACACTAGGGGGGCGGGTTGGGTGTGAAACAAAGTTAGCCAAGTTAAGTAATGAAGCTTGGTGGTGGGGACATGGAGATCCATTATATTATTTTCTCTGCTTCATATGCAGACATTTTTTAGCCTATAAAATTAAAAAGAGTTAACATGCAGTATGTTTAGTTAATGCTTCTCAGCTTGGGAAGTGTCAGACCCTATCTGACACTGCGGAGGACACCTCCCTCCCTCACCCTCACTGGCATCTGCTGTTCTAGATACTTTCCTAGGAAATTAAGTTTCTCTTTTCAAACTTACTCACTGCAGCTTGATTGCTGATGAAGACCTTTTGTTTGTAGGAAGCACCTGGCTAGCTGAAAAGAATATTTTTCATTAGGCAAGAAAGGAATTTTTCAAAACTCCTTATTATAAAATGCTATATACATACACAGAATCAAAAAGTGCAGAAAAATTAAGATCACACCTCTGCCGTTCTAATTCCTAGAGTCTTCACTGCTTCAAGTTTCTTGTGAATTGCTCCAGACATTTTTCTAAGCATATACAAAAATAGACATGATTTGGACCTCGCTTTAAGCCTAAGTATGTTTGCAACTTTGCTTTTTTTTTTTTCCACCTAGCAATATATCTTAGAGACATTTTCATAGCAGCAAATACACATCCTTCTCTTTTTTGTTCCATTATATGGAAAATTATATTTATTTCAAATCGGTCCCTGATTGGCAGGCACTTTTTTCCCAGTGATTTCTTCTTAGAGATAATCCTGCCACACCCCTTCTTGAACACATATAGAAAATGAATTTTTAAAAAAATATGCATTTCTTAAGAAAGCCCCTCCTTTATCCTTCCAGCTCAGGACAGGAAGCACTCCATGGTATGCAGCAAGCACACAACAAACATCCCGGACCTGTCTGCATCACCCTGTGACTCATCACCTGCACGAGTGCTGTTCAGGTAGAGGCTGGAGCAGTAAGGAGCATGCCTGGCTCTCAAGGCACGTGGAGAGCACCAGCGCACGAGCGCCTGAAAGTGCACGGCTGCTCCCAGGCTGAGGGTGCTTGATACGCCCCCGAATCCCCTCCTGTATGATGCCCCAGCCCAGAAGAGATAAAAGCATCAGCACCAAGAGATTCACCTGCCTCCTGTCATTAGGTAAGTTCGCAGGCACTGGCGTTGAAAGATTCTGGGACTGAGGTATATTAAACTCAATTAAATTTACCTGCTGCAACAATTGCTCAGTTGGTGGTGTGTCCAAGTTAAGGCACTAAAATGCTAATATGCAGCACCAGTGCCTCTGATGGCTTAGCGGCTTCTCTGAAAGTGGGTAACCAGAGTAAGCTTTTATTTTAGCGTATGCTATTTTTTTAAAAAATGTGGTTTGTGTTTAATCCTCTGGAAGTCCTGTGTCAGAATGGCTTTTCTTTTCTGCTATGTGGGACTTTATACAAGACATCTCTTGCCAGATTTTGGAATTTTCTGGCAAGGAAGAGAAGCAATTTGAGTAACCTGGCCACAGACAAATACATTTCACTTCAACAAAGCCTTTTCAAATGTCATTGAAGATGTGTGAGAAACCAGATAGAAAGCTATATAAAATGCTCTTTGAAAAGGTATTCTCTCATTGACTGCTTAGTGAAGCTCTTGCCATCCAATCTCCTGAATGGGATAGATAGCTTCACGCCGTCTCTTTGCCAAGGAGAGGTTTGTTAGACCACAGGGACAGGGCTTGGGAGATGGTCAGCTGACCCAGTACAGGCTATGTGGGGCCTCCTTTACAGCCTGGACAATAAGTATCAGGGCTGGGAGCAAAATGTACATGATTTGGGTTGCTTGTCTTTTTCTTTTTCTATCTATCTTTTTTTTTGAGATGGAATCTTGCTCTGTTGCCCAGACTAGAGTGCAATGGCACGATCTCGGCTCACTGCAATCTCCACCTCCCAGGTTCAAGTGATTCTCCTGCCTCAGCCTCCTGAGTAGCTGGGACTACAGGCACACGTTACCACGCCCAGCTAATTTTTGTATTTTTAGAAGAGATGGGGTTTAACCATGTTGGCCAGGATGATCTCTATCTCCTGATGAACCACCCATGTTGGCCTCCCAAAGAGCTGGGATTACAGGCGTGAGCCCACTGCACCCAGCCACTTGTCCTTTTTAAAATAATTCTCATGTGCCTGTTTGAAAAGTTAATATATGCTTACGTAGTCTCTCCCTGAGGAGTATATTTTGGAGTTACTCCTGATTGCTCTTAACTTCCTATGTGAAATTTGGCCAATTAATAGTTATTGAAAGACAAGCATATGCTTACTTTAAAGGGACCAACAAAGTTTTTAATCATCTGACAACTTTGATGTTTCAATAACAGCATTTGGCTTATGAGTAGAGGCTACTCAGAAATTATCGATTTAGTGGGACTTGAGGTGGGGATTCAAGTGATGAATGGAGGAGGAGTTGAGTGGAAGTCCTGTGAGGCCAACACGAGATGCAGAATGAGCTGGCTAGAAGGAGAAGGCTGTTCTGGTTTTTATTTATTTATTTATTTTTAAAAGCATTAATATCAAGAAAACACAAGAAAAAAGAACTCATGGAGGTGTGCTGGCTTGGGTGAAGGAATGGACTCACCTAGAAGGTACTGGTCAGGCTGGGACAGAGCTTTGGACACAGTTCACTGCTGATATCCAGCACCATGTGGAAAACCAGTCCTAGGCTTTATGGGCACTGGTCACTAACTGATTGTGCAACTGGAGCCTGGTCCAAGACTTTCATGAGCAGGGTCCAGTCACCAGGTTTCATGGGGCTGTGGAAATAAATTCTGCCCAGCAACCAGGTGGATTAGGTCCCAGAAGACAGACACTGATTCTTAGGAAATCACACATGGAAGCTTTCTGTCTACACCGCTCTTCTTCCCACCTGCATAGTGGTGTCCCATTTCCTGTCCAGTCTTCCTAAACAGCATTTATGTTCTGAACTAGTTCAGCTCCATAGAGAAGCTTTTGTTAAGCACTCATTAGCTTGTAAGATTTCTTTTTCACCTATGAAATTCTCTCAAGCCTTTTGACATTATCAAGTGCCACATGATTGATTTGAACAACTGTGACTTTCAGCTGCCTGAAGACTTGTAATGCCATCCCTGTGGATTGTAGATTCAAACTCAGGCATCTTTTAGTCAATAGGAGGAAACATTAGAAAGGGATATAGGGTCCTTTCTCCCTGCCTTTGGGGTCTGTAAGCTAAAACCTGTTTTTCCAACTAACCTGTCAATCTTATAGTCAATCTTGATTCTAGTTCCTTTAAACAGGTCAATTTCCTAGAGAGGCAGAATACCAGGGGTGCCTGGTTTAGAAATCAGAAAGTCTGGGTTCAGTATTATCCCTACCACCAATGACTATCCATGGCCCTTCAGCAAATCTTTCAGTATTTCCCCTTAAGTAAGAAAGAAGAGGTTGGACCAAGATGCACAAAGATTTCAATAGCCCAAAAGGAAGAGCTGAAACTAACAAGATTGGATTTAAAACAGTTGGTTGCAGAGATAGATGCTGGGAAAAAGCTAACATTGCTATTCCTATAGAAAAGGCTCTGTTACCCTGAGCTGAATGTGAAACAAGAGTGAGCCATGGCTGCTGGTATAGTTCACCATCACTGGCAGCATTGATAGAAGCTAGGAGGTTATAGGCCTGCTTTACTGCGCCCTAGTCTGGCCATGGCATCTCCTGCCCCTGGTCTCACATTTTTCTCCAATCCTCTAACTTGTAGTCAGAGTGATTTTTCTTAAAATCCAAATTTGTTTGTGTCACTTTCCTGGTTAAAAGCCTTCAATGGCTCTCCATTGCCCTCAGCATAGAATCTTATACAACGTCTCTCGTGCTTTGACCCCTACTTACCTGTCCATACTATCTCTTATACTCTACTGATCCATAATCCTCACCTTTGATGAGGCTAGAGAAAATCATATCCCACTTCTTCCTGGAAGCCCCTGGCATGAAGGGAGATATTATGCCTCTCATAATGTCAGTGGAAGGCTAGGCATTTCAAAGGGAACAAGTGACAAACCCAAGTACGTTCAGAGGAGGGTGATAAGGATAATGAGGGCTATAGGAATAAGGTTGAATTACAAATAACTGAAGAAGCTGAGACAGGGAAGCCTGGAAAAAAGAGCATTGTGAGAGGCATAATAACTCACTTTCCTTCCAAGTACTGCCAGGAGGAAGTGGGATATGACTTTGTCCTGGCCTCACTAGGGACACAAATAGTATCTCTGGTAGGAAGGAGATGGACATGGTGCAATCTTAGAAGCAGCTTTGGAAAATGCTATGATGTGCTATATTTGGGTACATTTGGTAGAGGAAGGGTATACCATGGAGAAGGGATGGCTTCCTGGTGACCCAAGGAGCAATCTGGCCCTAAAAGGCCTCTGTGCTATCTCACGAATGTGATTGCAAGGATTCTTGTGTTGGGTGAGGTGTTCATGTAGATAAAATATTAAAGATCCTGCAGAACATGGATTCTAAGATCTGCAGGTCCCTGACAGCTCTAAAAATCTGTGATTCTTTCACCTAGAGAGAATCACACAACACCACACAACTTAGAAAACTAAACAGACATTCTAACTTATGGCTTATCTTCCTTAGCAGTTTTGAGTATTTTACCTATTCCAAATCTGGCCTTGATGCCTGGTTTACTTCATTATTCCACTGGGAAAGGAAAAAGGGACATAGAGACATTATATAACTTGTTCTAATTTTTGCAGATAATGAAAAGAGGTAGAATCTTAATAGGAAACAGAACTCTTTCAGTTCCTAGGCACTAAAGCAGACGCTTTTCTGGGTCCCTGATGACTTCATATACCAAGTTGCCCTAAAAAGTGTCATGTCTCTTACCATTTTGCCTGAATTCCATACATAAAGTTCAGTAAACAACTCTGATGGGTGGCTGTGGGTATGGGCTCTGGAATTAGATTGCCTGTGTGACCTTAGAAAAAGTCACTTAATTTTGCTGTTTCTCATATTTCAGCTTCTGTCATTTCCTCATTAACTTTGGGTTACATTATTATATCCATATTATTGATAGACAAATGGAAAGATGAGGATAAGGATAAAACAAAAACATAGTACATGGCTATAGTAAATGGTTAATAAACATTAGTATTATTAGTACTGGATGAGGACTGGACTCGAGAATAAAGATAATTGATTTATCATTCCTGTGTGAAAAGCAGAGTGCAGTGTTCTTTACACTGTTTTCTGTGTAGCCTCAGAATTTCCTCAGAGCTTCCACTGAGAGCCTGGACTGGGTTTAATGGGTGAGAGATGACACCACTGGCATAGATGAACTACAAGGGGTGGGGAGTATGCACCAAAATGGTGCTCCTATGCTGCTGTCTGTGGTCCTGAAATACAGTTTGTTAGTAGGACCTAGTTAATTCTCTAGAAAACTAGTGGGTACTCTATTGCCCTGTGTCTTTCCTGCCTCCCCAGTAACTCCTTGCCTATGGCTAGTCCTCCCACCATCTACTAGTTGGGTAAATTGCCGATAACCTATTGAAGCATTAGTTTCCTTATATTTTAATGTAGGCATTTTCTACCCAGCCCCTCTGTATGTTCATGGGGATGTTCCCAAGCTATATACCATCCTATATATATATATAAACTCCTCCCTCCATTCCTACCTGAGGGGCACAGTCAGAAAGGGGCAACATAGTGGCAACAAAAAAATGTTTGCCTCTGAGCTCCCTCCTAGTAGAGTTACTGGAACCCCAAGCCCGCTGAAGGCATAGCCCAGTTTCTACCTGCAGAGTCCAAGGGGACCCAAATAGATTTTTAGCAACCATTCAAGTTTTTCCAAGGCCAGGATCAGAACAGAGGCACTCTCTGCACTGTCTCCTTGTGGACTACGGAGCTGTCATTGCCTCTGCTATTACTGATGCTGTACCTTCTTTCTGGTAGTCCTTATGGTGGAGACAGAGCAGGGCACTCCTGCAGCAGGGTCACAGGCTCTTCTGTTACATGCATCGAAGTATTCTTTTGCTGTTTCAATTTAAAATCATCTCAAGCAAGGACTTGGGATTTCCAGTGGAGGCTGGGCCAAGGGACAGTTGAGCCACCTTCTGTCCCCGACTATCTTGCTCAAAAGCCTTTCCCTTTTCTTTTCTTTTTTTT